ATATTTTAATATTTTATATGATTTTTATATTTCAGGGTTTGTATATTTTCAATTGTTTGATTAAAGATCAAAAATTATAAAAAAAAGATCGTTAATACGTATCAATTTACGTAGCACGTCAAGAATTGATCTGTATCATTTTTTAATTGATATATAGAATTTAAAAATGATGCATAACATAGTTGTAAACATCATAACATTACCACCAATTAGATGCCTGCATGTGCCGGGCCGAAATTTGAAAAATTTAAAAACCTCACAAAATCGCGGGCCGAACTTTTAAAAAACATAGTTAATTTTATTTTGCGGGCCGGCAAAAAGTACAAATTTTTAGGCCCTACCACCAATTGAAAGCATCGTAACATGATCATCCGAGTTTCAGGAATTTACGAATTTTTGTTAAAATTACATTTTTAAATTTTACATACTGTAATAAAATACAAAACATATTAAGTTATGCACATTTGCAAACTCTTGAAGTCATTCATTATCGGCACACTTTTTTATATACTCATCGCATATCTTATTCATATCTTATTGCATATGATAAATGTCTAACACGGATTACGTATGTCTGCAATAAATAATAACGATAAGTTATGAATGAATGAAAATTTAACGTCACCATAAAAAGGAAACTAGGAAGCAGTGAATTCAAATTCTGATTATCCCGGTTTCGGTTCATCATAAACTAGAATAATATATTATGAAAGAGTGAAACCCGCGACAGAGGTAGTTACGTTGTTGATGCAGATCTTACTTAGGGTCTTACTTAGGGTTATAGGTTAGTTACTATTTTAGATAGTGATCTCCATCAATAACGTAACCACTTTCGCGGGTTTCCATCGCGGGTTTCACCCTGTCGTAATATATTTTTATTCGCATTCATTTCATTATATGTCCGGAAGTACTAAATTTTATCACTCATTCCTTATTTTTTTAATTAGTACTAAATTTATTTTTAGAAAGGTTGCTATTGTTTTTATTTATTATTCCTTTTATTTTGTTGTAAGTATATATAAAGTTTTATTATTCAATTTGCTGTTAGAGATGAGCTAATACAGTATAGAAATAATTTCCAAGAGTACTATGGAAACACGTTTTAAAATAGATTTCTGTATTAGGTAGATATCTAACAGCTGGAGCTTAAGAAATACAAGTGGGATATACGAAGTATATAGAGAAAAAAACAAGGATATCTCAAACTCAAGTGGTCGGAAGGTTATGTGGCTGTGCCCACTTTCATTTAGCGACTTTCATTGAGCGAATTAGAATTAACACATGAATCCGGATTTATAGATTCCAAATAAATCCGAATTCAAATTTTGAATAATGTATATCCGGATTAAATATAAATCCGGATGTAATGTTATTACTGTAATATTTAAATCCGGATTTAAAACAACGGATTTACGTACTTACGTAGCGATCTTAGCGATAGGCAGGCTTTGTTACTTTTGATGAATAATTATTACGTAGTAGATCTCCCATGATAATTGACCAACCAAACTGTTGAGAGATTTGCATTAGTGAGCTTTCTGCTTGTGATAATAAATCCGGATATAAAATTATATCCGGATCGAATCTATATTCGAATTACGTACGTACATATTCGGATTTAGTTATATCTGGATATAAAAATAAACCCGGATGTTAACTCTATCACGGATTTAGTCTTTTTTTTATCGTCTATAGCAATAGCAATAGTAAAAGTTAAATTTAAATTTCTACTATAATCATTATAATTATTATTAAAATTATAGTTTTGATAAGCATAAATAACGTTTATAAGTTATATATGCCTATAATAATATAAATTAAAAAATTAACTAAGAATTCACTGTCGCTATAGGATACATAGTAGATGTTTACTATAAAAAAAAAAATCTTAAGCCCGTGACTTTGGTCAACTGCTGTAAGGGGGGATGTTATGATTGTCGTAGATAGGAATAGTGATCCAAATCGTTAGTTGAAAAATCAACTAGTTGACAACTTTTCAACTAGTTGATTTGAAAAATTTTAAAAACAACTAACCAACTAAATTATTAAATAGTTTAATTATAAGATATTCTGTCTGTTCAGGCTAACTTGTGCTAATTCGTGCTAATTTCTTTGATTTGATTGGTTAATTAACAAATTTAGTCACATGATACAAAGTTGATTAGTTGCAACTATAGTTGGCAACTAGTTGATTAGCAAAATTTTTATCAACTTGGAACACTAGATAGGAACAGAATTTAAGTTGATTCAGAATTTTTAAGGTTAGGATTGGGATTTTTAGTATAATCATTCTGTTCTAATCTAAGTGGATTCCGAACATTATTATGATTCTATTCCCACTTATTGATCGAAAGGTTCATAAAGAAATTGATACTAACTTAATTAAAATAGTATCGCCAATATACATTATACTGCATATCGTTATTATCTAGTCATTTTTGCAACGGCTACAATGGTAATCTTTGAAAGAACAAATGTGATTCTTCTAAGAAAAATCTGATAGTAATGCAAATAATAAGGAGCAAGCTTAAAATGGTAATATTACATTCATTACGTACGGACGTACGTGCGTACGTACGCACTGTACGTACAGTACGTACAGTACGTAGATTTTTTTAACGTTACATTAACGTTAATAAATGTTAATTGTATTAATGTTAATTGTATTTAATGTTCCTCAAATTGATAATAATGAAGGTTTTTTTCCCTTAAAGTTTATTGATTTTCGAAAACATTTTTATCAAATAAAATTAACTTTATTAAAGTAACTTTAAACAAAAATATAATGAATGTAATTTTACCATTTTAAGTTTTCGCATTCAAAACCTTTTTTTTTCTTGTAACTATGTAACTATGATAAAATTTTTGCGATCACGTGACGATCTTCAACAAATTATCCAATAAAGAATCTTAATTTGGTGTAACATCACGCGATCAAAACAAACGTTCGTTTAGAAAAAACTGCCTTTATCTCGAAAATTTGCTTAAGAAACAATTCTTCATGCACTAACAAAAAAAATTCCTTGAGAAATTTTACTATATCCCCCTTAATATCCAACTTTAGTTTAAACGCTAACCCTAACATAAAAGAACTTAAACAACTTTATCGATCATCACGTGATCGCAAAAATTTTGTTGGCGCACCTGGGAGTACGGTTATTAAAAATGATCGACAAAAAAATTCTTAAAATTCTTATCATAGATTCGAATTACTACGTATTACACAGCATACATACATAGCAATACATAGCAATACATAACAGCGATATATATACGTAGCAGCGATACATAGTAAAATGAATAAAGATAACATTTATTATAACTAACAATGAAATAACTGTACGTATGTAGGAGTGCATAAGCTAAATTCAAAATAGAATAACATCAGAAATAATCAGAAATAATCAGAAATAATCAGAAATAATCAGATAATCAGAGATAGCAATAATACGTGCTATTTTTTTTTACTTAACAGTTAACGGATACGTACGTACGTACGTATCGAGCTATGAACATTTTATTTGGACTTTGACATGATATCTATGTATAATACGTAAATGCTACGTATGTATAAATCCTTACACATTTAAAATTATTTAAATTCGTCGGTCTATCTTCGGTCAATATTAGTCATATAAGGACAATCTTATTGTTAACTTCAAATCTGGTTTACACAATCCGTTAATATGCATATATTCTTAATGCTGTTGTGAATCCTAGAAATTATAAATAATTTTATACAGCCTGCAGTTTCACTCAAAAATAATTCTACGCATGCATTCTATAAACACTTTACATGACCATCCAATTATAATTATATAGGTATAATTAGATCTAGGCATATTTTTTAAATCAAGAACGTTGTGCATTCTTAGTCATAGATATTATCGTTATGTAGCATCGTGATTTAACTGGCAAAACTCTTTGTAATTTACATTTACATACGTACGTACGTACGTATGTAAGTGCGTGCGTATTGGTATGTGGGAATTAAATAACGGATAAACGGCAAGCATAACGAAATTATAAGTAATTATACGTAATACTGTAATAATTGTCCAAACTTTGTACGCTGTGTAACATGCATATACGTTAATGCGACCACCAAAATAAGTTAAGCACAAATGGGCGACCCTTTGTATAAAACAATGTTACGTATACAGTACTACAAGTACTGTACGTATCTGGTATGTACGTACATACGTACGTACGGCACATAATCGATATGCACTTCGAATGTAAAAATAGAATTAGTATTTACTAAGTTTCAGTAATTGAGTTGCCGAAAAAGGTTTATGAAACTCTATCGCTTATCACTATCGGAATTTATAGCATTAAAACTAGTTTAAAAGTTCAATTAAATTTTTTATAAGTTAAATATTTTAAGCTTAAAATATTTATTTTTATTGATAAGAACTTGCAAATTGTAATATAAACCTTTGTTTTTTCCCTTTGCCATGCTTTATCTGTGTTTTCATTTTGTTTTTGCTCCCATCTAAATCAAAGTGTTCTTTACTATTTATTTATTATTATTAAAGATTAAAGATGAGCGATCCTAACGTTAATGTTATAAATCAAAATAAAATAAATGAATCCTGGAAAAGATCCTGGGCATTGGTAAACATAGAGAAATATCCAACTGCTGACCTTCAATTCGAATCCGTTCGTTCCTCTTTTTGTAGTGACCCTTCTCTTTCGGACCATGAACGCATTCATTTAATCAATCGTCTCGAAAAATTCAAAACTCGTTGGATGTCTTCCCATAGAAATACTAGTATCGATGAAAAACGTCAATGTAATATTTGTCAAAGTTGGACTTACTCCATTCTTTATTGTGAATTTTGTCTTCAAGATTATTTAAAAGTCGATTTCGGTAATTGGACCTCGGGAAGTGATGAAATTGATATTATTATTCGAAAAAGTCAAATGTGTGTTTCCTCTCCAGAAAGAATTTTTAGATGGTTACCTTACGATGATTTCGAAAAGATTACTCTTAAAACTAAAGGTGGTTATGCTTCAATATATTCTGCTATCTGGAAAAATGGTTTGGTTAAATGGGATCCAGAGAAACTTACTCTTGAAAGTGTGGGCCCTCGTTATGTCGTCCTTAAAAAATTGGAAAATTCTAGTCAAATGGATGGAAGATGGTTAGAAAAGGTATTTTAAAATATTCTTCTTTACCCTCTCTTAAGAAACTATCTACGTTACCTATATTTAGTTATAAGTTATATATGATTATTTAGTTATAAGTTATATATGATTATTTAGTAATATTATTAATAATAATAATAATTTACCATTCATGTATTAAATTTTTAATGCATAGATTATATCATATTCCTGTAATGATGAATATGCGGACGTCCTTGTAGAGTGTTATGGAATAACTCAGGAACCTGGAACTCTGGATTATATTCTTGTCTTGAATCATTTGGAATGTAACCTATATCAATTTTTAACAGAGCACAATTATTCTCTTACATGGAAACAAAAATTTGATATTGTCGGTGATTTAGCTTATAAATTAGGAAAAATACATAATGCTGATTCAATTCATGGAAACTTACACTTGGGTAATATTTTATTAGCTAGGCAAATAGGTTCTTTTTTTATTAGCGATCTGGGTTTCTGCGAACCAATCGACCAACATCCTGATAATATTTATGGCAACCTTCCATATATCGCTCCAGAAGTATTACATAGCAAACAATATTCAAACCAATCAGACATTTATAGTTTAGGAATAATTATGTGGGTTATATCTTCTGGTGAATTACCTTTCATTGATCGAAATCATGATTCCAAACTTGCTCTCGATTTAGTAAATGGTTTAAGACCAAATGTATCTGGTGAAATTCCATATGAATATGTAAAATTAATGAAACAATGCTGGGATACTATACCTGAAAATCGTCCTGATGCTTTGGAAATTAATAGAGAAATAACTAAATTGGTTAAAAAATTTTATGAAAACCCTTATATTGAAACTTATAAAAATATAGAATCTCTACTTGCCGAAACTTCAATAATTTCTACTTGCTCTCAAGAAAATGTTGATTTAAAAACATATTCACATTCTAGTCAACTATATTGTTTCAAAGACTTACCGCAACCAAAAAATACTACTGATGGTATTTTTATTTTTAATTTTAAATAATCTCTTTTGTTCTTGTTTAATCCTTTATTATACTAACATGTTTTTTTTTTTATTCAATCAAGATAAATCGACTAAATTAACTGGTAAGAAACTTATTAAACAGTTATACAGTTATACAATTATACAATTATATGGTTATACAATACAGTTATACGTTGTAAATAATTTGACTAAAATACATATTTTATTTTTAATGTATTTAGATTCAAAGAGTAATCAGTTCAAATACAATGAAAAATCTAAATTCAATGTCATGCAATCGTTGCTGAAAATAAAAGTAATTAATTTTTTGTTTTTTTTTTTTTTTGTTTTTTTTGGAAATCAATTCGCTAATCATTAACTTTGATTCGGAATTTTTCTGTATTTGTTTTAGGTAAAATATTTGAAGAAATTAAAATTTAAAAAATAGGGCTTAGCCTTAATGTATTTAAAACATACATATACATACATACATACATACACACATACATACATATCCAATACATAAACTTATACGTATAAATAAGTTTTCTAAGTGTCATTCTACTTTCATATCGAACTAACATAAATTTTTAAAAATTTGTTTATATTTATTTATATTCAGAGTTCGTTATAAAAATGTTCGTTATAGAAAAAGTCGATTGTATATATACCATATTCTTTGTTGTATTAATTTAATTGGGTTATAAATATTTTTTTGGCAATTTGTATTTTTATTTTTAAACATTGTTAACATTTATTATTATTCGGTCGATCAAAATTGTATTATTTACGTAGAAATACTTGTAATAAAAATATCCTGATCCGTTGTGGGTATTAGCGGAAACGAAGTTTCCGCTTGTACACATACGGTCAGGGTATTTATATATATAAACAATTAACAAATTAAAAAAAAATTTTTAAATAAAAAAAAATAAATTAACAAACGTAAATGTGTTAATTTCAAATAATATCAAAATTGATGTCGAGTTTATGAGTTAGCTTGGAGTCTCTATTTAATTTTATTACGCCCTACTAAGATTTATATATACTTTTTATTAGTACTCTAATCCTAAATCATAATTTAACTTTAGAAATAAATACATTTCAAAACATTTTAAAATAATAGATCTAATTCTTGACATTAGCCATGACAAATAATAATAATGTTACTTTTCGGTAGTAAAAATTATTAGCAATAACTTGATCAAAATCATTTTTAAATAAACTGCTAAATTTGTTTAGCTATAAACAAAGGCAAAAAATTATTCTTATAAAAATTATATAAAAATTTTAAATATAATATTTTTAAAATATAAAAAATTAAAATACAAAAATAAACATTCAACTCTCTCCAATGATCACTTGTACCAACCAGTTGTCAAAGATTCAAGACTAGAAGTTAACAACAACTTGAAGTTTTCTTGATACAAACTGTTGTTGATGAAGGTTTTAAATATGATACATTGAGAAGCAGGTGTTTTGAACAGTTTGCATAGAAGTCAAGCCTTTTTTTATGTTTTTTCTTTAGGTAGACTTTCTTGTATATTTAGTATCCAAATTAGAGGAGTCTCTGAAAACTAGTGATAGCATATTGTTATTTAAAAATAATAACATCTTGTCATATAACAAGTTATTTTTGTCATAAAACAATTATTTATTTTTTTATAATTATATATATATTTATAGTTAATATATAATTTTTATTAACCAATAAGATAAATATGCTAGATTTTTTTTAAAAAAAAAATATAAAAACTTTTTATATTCAAAAATAAGTTACTTAATAATTATTAGTAGTTATTCTATAGTAAAATTATAATTTTACTAAGTAAATCAATCTACCTTATTAAGGGTAGAGTATATATTGATCATTTATCATATGATTTCAGTGGTACAACGGGATTTTATGCATAAATTAAAATACATTGCAAGTAAAAATTCTCAAAACCATGGTTAAATTTTATCAAAATTTTGTAATATACAAATCAAACCTTCTATTTATAGTAGTAAAACTTTCAGGAGCTATATTATTTTTAAAAAATAGACATATATATGTTGTAAAGTTCCTAGGGATTTCTCACATTTCCCAGGGTTACACAAAAATAAACATAGTAAAAATATTTCTAAAACAGGTAATTACCAATTAGATTTGTGCTTACTATATAATCTGTTACACAAAAAAAATTGCTATGCATATCATATGATAAATGATCTATATATACTCTACCCTTAAATAAAAGTTGTTTAGAAGATCTGAATATATATATTTTAAAAATTTTATTTTATTTTATTTTTTTTGGTATTAAGGTGAGGCCTTGCTCATATCTTTATTAATAATTTTTTAAATAGTTACAATGTAAATTACTATAGCGCAGTTATCGAGGCTTCCACTTGTGGTCAGGGCTAATCATTAAACCACTATATGTAGGAATTTACAAAGCTACTACTATTTGTACTAATACAAATAAAGTTAAAATTACATACAAGAATAAGAGCTCAGACAGAGAAAAATTTATCTGTAACCTAAACCTACTAGAGTGGTCAAAGACTCACCTAGATTGTGATAGTTAAAACTTCTTTAT